CCCAACAGGTGCTCAGTCTCTGTTGAATGATTACCTGGGTTTCTAGCAGCAATGGGATTCTATCAGCCATACGTTATTCAGCTGCATTCTAGGAATTTCTGCCTGCCTGGATCTCAAAAGAGCTAACTTTAAACATGTGGGAGGGAGAGATGGAATAAATAAGTAGAGAAAGAGGGGTGAATGGATGTGGGAAGGATAGATAGAAAGATGAAAGGTATGCTAAAGCCTAAGGGAATGGCACGCAGGTAGGATCATATACAATGGAAAGAAGTACAATGCAACACTGGTATTAGTATTAGAGCTTAACAACATTAACGTTCATTATAGTGTTGGAGTGACCGCTGCTCTGTTCTGCTCTGTGGTCAAATCTTCCTTATTTCAGATCACAAGTGGTCTACTCATGCTGCTCGGAATTAATTTCACAATAATACCTTACCCATCATACCGAAACATTAAAATTACAATGGAAACCGTATGGGGTAAATTCTGGATGAAGGGCATCGTTATGTCGCTCGTTTATGTTTTCTAGTGCGGCCTTGGTTTTACCAAGGCCGGATTTAGAAGGCGGCATTGCTCTGGGAGGCCTCCATTTGGGAGTGGGCAGCTACGCTCAATGATTCACGAGTTTGAATTTAGGATTAGGAGAGAATTCACTCTGATTTACTTCCCATTATCGCAGCCCAAACAAGCAAATCTATGGCAAGTGCTCTTGTATATACTGCTTTTTAAGGTACGCCATTTTGACAAGTACAACTTTAATATTTTTTAGGTGCCTCCTCTTCAAACAGTGCTCAACAACTCCCCCTTTGTCTTTTTTAAAAGGGCTTTTTGTAAACCTTCCGTGTTGAAGTCATTTTACATCCGAGGGGCTTACGGTTTGTCTCATGTAAATGATACCTGAAAACATCTGGAGAACCATGTCAGGCATATTATTTAATGTATGACAAGATTCAATATCTATGGTCCATCTGTTCTCTGTAAGCAGTGAACGTCTTCACGTCGATGTGCTAAGTGTTGATAACCATGTCTCCTGCTAATTATCACTCAGCCAGGACGAAAAAAGTGATGACTGTTTTAAACTTGTAGACCTAGGTCCTATCAATCAATGTTAATCTGATTATTTAATTTACACCTTTTCACCACAGTATTTAGAAGTACGAGCTAGACAAGTGTAATTATGATTTCATCTTCGTATCCTTACACAAATATGAAACCAAATTCCTCACGCCGCTTTCATAACAGAACTCCTCATGAAGACCTCGCTGGAGTCTGAATGGTGACTTGGTAACCCCGCATTGCACATGCTAAACAGCCAAAATTAACTCCTGCGCGGGTAAGTGACAAAGCCAAGGCCTTATCGCAAACGTCAGAATTGGGAAAGCCAGATTTTATCGCTCCGATTTGTCATGTGTTTCTACTAAAGTAAATTTTCTCTCAAGGTTCCTCCAAATACAAGGGAAACCCTTGAGTTAGTTATATTAGACTAAAGAGAAGATTGATTCTGATTTCTAATGGGACTCGTGCTCAATTATTTTTATCTCTTAAAATTAAATTAGAAAAATATTGAAATACATAAACTCATAGGACTGCATTACTGCAACACAAAATGCAGCTTATGTTGCATTTTCTACAAAGCTTAAAAAAATGTGTCCATACTGATGAGTGAGACCATATTATTTGCAAACTGATTTTGCACTGGAATTTGAATAATTCATGTAAAGTTTGAAGAATGGGCTAACAGTCATCTCCAGTGGTTTAGCAACTACATATCATATCCCCAACTGTTGGTGAATTATTGATCCATAAAAAAATTACATCTTCAAGTCAATTAACTTTGAATGGATGAGGACAGGACAAACAGGTTCAATCTTAATCATAATAATAATAAATGCAAGAGTGACAAATTCAACAGCCCATTTAATAAATCATTTTAAGTATACACATAAAACCTTTAAGGTACTCATTTTAAACCCTAGTAACACTGTACTCAAAATTGAGAGCACCACGGATGGCTAAAAGGACAATAGTATTTGTGAGGAAAAGAGAAATGCCTGGAAATGCCTAACTCCTCTTTCCCTAATAAGTGGCAAATTAGAATGTTTCAACTGATAATTTTATCCTTTTTTTCCATAGATAGGATGAACTATGATTAATAGAAGAAAAAGAATCCCTTTTACTTTTAATTCTCCACAAAATACCATACCAGGTTAAATAAAATTCAAGTTTTTAAATTTGTCTAAAAGAATGATTGCATAGACATTAAGAGATTAACTCTTTAATTATTTCAAACTACAATTCGACTTTTACTAGATCTTGATTTTAATCATATTTACAACGAAGTAAAATTTGCTCCTATTTCATATCTTGTTTTAAATGTATTTAATCCAAATTCTCATTCATTACAAAAAGTTGGTTTGGCAAGGAAAATACAAGTGGACAGAAACCTGTCATCTGAACAAATATGATGTCATTGTTCATAAGAAATGTGGTCAGCAAGTCCATTGGTGAGTGGGAGGGACCAAAAGCAATGACAGCTGGCATTGAATATTTGTGGATTTAGGCTATGTTCATTAAGTGGCTTATAGGCTATGGATTCTAGGCACTCCTCTGGGTCAAAAGGAGAATGGTGAGAGGGGGTTTGATACAGTGTGTAGGTTTCAGGCCCCAAACTTGGAGTCTGCTGTAAAAAGTCATTGCCAAGATAGGAATGACTCATCTGCTGCACAGGACCCTCTGTTCTCGGAGGGCTATGGTGGGCCTGCCCTAAGGCATGGTATTTCCAGTGGCTTCATGTGCGTGTGAAAGTTGGACATTGAATAAGGAAGAGCAAAGAAGTATCAATACATTTGAAATGTGGAGCTGCACTGAATATTGAAAGTACCATGGACTGCCAATGGCCAACCATATATATCTGTCTTTGGAAGACAGATATGGTCAGAGTGCTCCTCAGAGGCAAGGACATTGAACAAGGAAGACGGAAAAAGAATGGGTACATCTGACTTGCGCTGGCGAAGATTCTGGAAAGTACCATGGACTGCCAGAAGAACCAGAAGAAGTAGATGCAAAGAGCGAGATTTCGTCTCATGTACTTTGAATGCATCATCAGGAGAGATCAGTCCCTGGAAAAGGACAACATACTTGGTAAAGAAGAAGGGCAGTAAAAAAGAGGAAGACCCTTAAGGACATAGATGGATACAGTGTGCACAACAAAGGGCTCAGACATAATCCGCCCCCCCCACCACCGCACAGGACCAGACAATGTTTTGTTCTGTTGTACACAGGCTGGCTATGGGTCAGAACTGATGGAACAGCACCTAACAAGAGCAACAATCTTGGTGGGATAACTCAAATCGAATCTGTTCTCCATCCTCTCTGGAGTCTACTCTGTTTGTTGAAGGAAGTCATATATAGAATACAGATGGCCTAAAGTCATTCTATTTTAGCCAATCAATGTCCCATGACATGGTTTCTAGCATATCCGGCTCATTCCTACTTCCAGGGCTCCTGCCTACCATGCTCCTGCCTGAAAGACTCTTTTCCTTTATCTCGATGTTTTGACTCCTATCCTTTAGACTGTGATCCACATGATTCTACAGTTCAAAACCGCCAGCTGCTCTTTGGGAGAAAGATGAGACATTCTACTCCCATAAAGAGTTACAGTCTCGGAAACTCACAGGGACAGCTCTACCCTGTCCTATAGGGTCGTTATGAGTCGGCATTGACTCAATGGCAGTGAATTTTTTTTGTTTTGCTTCAATCCATCTTAAGCTTTGTATTTTACATTTATATTATCCATTCTGATCTATCAAGACCTCCATTTCTGCCCACTCTTGGCATTAGGTCTTTCAGCTGCTACTATACACGCTGGTGTAATATTTTCTACACTTTCTCTCCACTGAGCATGTATTTCAGGAACGCACTGACATTTGTTCTTGCTGGTTCTCCATCGGGGTTAACACAGTACTAAGCACATGGGAAATGGTTCATATATACAGCAAGTATACACATGTTTTATTTTATGAAATCAAGAGAATATATTCTGGGAGGCTACACCAAGAGTGGTAATACAAACTCAAAAAGAAATACTGATACACAAGAGGAGTTAATTATAGATTTGCTGACCCCAATTTTCTTTTAAAAAATCGTTGAAAGCACTGAGCCGCATCTATCCTTTCTTAGTTTACAGAATCCTTAACATCATCATAACCTTCTTGTTTTCCAACAGATACAGTTAAGCTGACTTACATTCTGCGTCTAGGAATCGTGCTAATTTGCGGTGTGTCCTTCCTGCCACAGCATGAAAACTCAGGATGAGTGCAGTTGTCTCTGTCCTTTGACAGGTTTGAATAGGTTGCAGAAGGATATGAAACCATATTTGAGCCTCAAGGGAATTAATTAAGAATTTTACAGTCCCATGCACCTAAGCTTTGTCATTAATTTGTTTTTCAATTTCCTTCACATTTTAACTGCTTGATTCTTTACTTTTGTGCCCAGATTATCAACTTCTGTTAACAGGTTCGCAGTATTCGCAGTTGACATATTATCTTGTACAAACTGTACTATTTTTTTTAATCACACACACACCAATTCTTTCTTACTATATTAGAAATTAAGTTTTCCTAAATAGTAACTGTTGGAATTATATTAACCAGTGAGAGGCTTAGTTTTATATTAAATGCTGTGCTAAGATTTGGATGTTAGTTAGACTAATAAGAAAATACAACTATCAAAGTATCATTAAATATTAGTTAAGTGTCCTCTAGTTTGTCTTTAATTACTCTATGCAAGTATGAAGGACAATCAAATCAAATCTTTTCTTATAGCTTATAACTCATAACATCACCTTGTTTATAGTGACTGGAATAAATTAATAATAATAAATTTTTCTCATGAGAAAAAAACTTATGCTGGGTGGACTTTTCATAACTGCTTTACAAAGTCAATCAATCATGGCATGATATGAGCTTTATAAAAATGTTACAAGTACTCAACTGACTTACCTCCAGTAGATGAGAATCCCCACAAGAACCACTAGACAGATAAAAGTCAGGGCTGACACGACCACAAGGGGTATAACTGTCTTCTTCTTGGCTTCCAAACCCTCAGCTAGACCAATACGAGACTCATGGCTACTATTACTGGCCTCTGTAGTCGGAGAAAATCGAGAGAATTGATATTTAAGCTCCGAGTAAAGTCAGGACATTTTTCAACGAATTCATTGCAACTTTGAATGCTGTTACTTACCTTGAACATTTTGACTTTCTGGTGCCAAGAATGTCTAGTTTACGGATCAATGTAGGTAAAAACAACCTTTAAAAAGCCCGGCAGGCTATCTGAGCTCAAGTGCAGTATCTCAACAGAGAAGGGAGGGTGCCATGGCAAGAAGCGAGCACGATACTGCCCTGAAAAGCTTGGGAGATGGGCCAGAAGCACCGACATAATCAAATGAGCAAGCAAAGCAATGCTGCTTATGGAATCACCATGTATTCCCTCCCTTTTCTAAAAGTAATGATAATGGAATCATTTTAAATTTTGCAGCTAATTAAATAATTAAGAAGAGCTAACATTTTCATGAAGGTAGAATCTCAAGATAACCCTCATTATATTAAGTTAATGCTTTCATTGAGTAAACGGTTTTCAATTTCAAATTGGTTGGTTGTAAATCTTTTCTTGAGCCAATGCTTTTCTCAAAAAATCCAAATACTGTTGCATGTGAATGGCTGAAAAACAATCGTTCTAAGACATTATTCAAACATGCACATGTAAATGATGAAAGTGCCCAAATTCAATCTTTGGGTAAATTTTGAAAGTTGACAAGTGACTATTTTTGTGACCACATAGGAACATTATCGCACTGAATCTCAAACGGAGGTACTTTTTGGAGTTGTGACAACAGGTTCAGAACTACACAGGCACAAGGGCCGGAGACCATCTTTCCCATGGGCCTTGAGGTCCGCCCACTGGGAACCCAACATGGCTGAACATTGAAACCCTTTCTACTACGATGACATGTCGCGGCACGGTTAAGAACTGTTATCTTGCCTCCCGGAAGAGGTTCCGAAAGAATGAAATTTAAGTTCCTCCGCAGAATCTTTGAGGCCTTTATCGTAACAAGGCAGAAGAGCTTAAGTTAATTTCAAATACTTACGAAACTTGGAGGTGACAGACATGCGTGACTCTAGCATCATGTATAACCAACGACAGCGATGATTTTAAACGATCACTTTAGTCACCAAGAACAGGGAAGGCAAGGG